GATTCAAGTTGATCATAAACTAATTTTTCAATATGATTTGCTTGTAATTCATTATTATCTCTAGGTTGCTTGCAAATGTTGAAAATATTCATCTCTAATGTCATGTTTCCAAATGATTGCTTCATTAGTCCATTCATATAATTAATCAATGCATTAGAAGTTGCAAGAAATGAACATCCTAAAATAATAGGAAATGAATTACGTGCTTCAAGAAGTTGTGTGTCCAAGACAATAAAATCCACAGGATAAATGAATTTATTAACTTGTACTAACACATCTTCAACTATTCCTCTAGGCACTTTTACAAATCTATTAGCAAGTAAAAGAGTTATAGAAGTTCGTTTTAACTCACCTAGATTGAGATTTTAAAAAACTGAATATGAAAGTAAATTCACACTAGCTTCAAGATTAAGTAAGACTCTTTTAATTTTATGTTCTCCAATAAAGTAAGAAATTATAAGACAACCAGAGTCTTTATATTTCAAAGCATTATTGTTTTGAAGAATGACACTTACTTGTTCGACTAAAAAGGCTTTCTTTTTCACATTTAATTTTCTCTTCACAGTGTACAGATCTTTCAAAAATTTAGCATAAGAAGGAACATGTTTAATAGCATCTAGTATAGGTATATTTATCCTTACCTATTTGAAAGTTTCAAAGATTTCAGATTGTGATTAACTTTTCTTTATTTGGTCATGACATGAGGAAATGAAAGTGCTGGCGGGAAATCTATCTTTTCTTTGTAATTTTCAGATTCTACACCTTCCTTACCCTTATAAATTGACACATCATCTTTCTTACAAGGTTCAAGAGTAGGTTTTTCAATAACCTTACCATTCCAAAGAGTAATGACTGATTTGACTTGATCTATGTATTGGCTTCCAAGATTACTTGTATTTGCATTGAATTACCCCTTGGGATTTTGTTATGATTGAGATGAAAACTTACCTTTCTCTTGAAAATTGAGAGCAAATGTTAATTTTACAAGAGTATCTTTAAAATCTATCATGCTTTGAGATGGAAACTTACCTTTCTCTTGGAAATTGAGAGCAGATGTTAATTTTGCAAGAGTATCTTTAAAATCTGTCATGTTTTAAGCAAGTTGAGTATTGATTGTCTCTTGCTTTTCAATGAATGCATACAATGTTTCCTCAAGATTTCTTCTAAGAGGTGGAGCATAAAGAGGTGCATATCCATGAGAATTTTCAAAATTATGACATGCATGAAATGGTGGTTGTGAATCTTGTGCATTATTGTTATCACTCTTCCAACTAAAATTTGGGTGATTTCTCTAACTAGGGTTATATGTTTGCGAGTATGGATTATGGTTGGGCTTTTGAAAACTGTTTAAAGCATGAGCTTGTTCATGGAGACGTTCTTTAAAAGAAGACAAGGTTGGACAGTTATTGGTTGAGTGTTCATTGGTTTCATATATTTGACACATAATGTTTTGAACAGATTTTAATTGACCACTCCTTTTCAATTCTAGTGTCTCGACTTTTCTAGCTAAAGATGTAAACTTGGTTTGGAGGTCATGATCTTCCTTAAGGTTGTACATACCTCTACTAGATGTATGAGGTTGAGTTTTACTCGTTGCTTCATAAGTACCTACGTTGTCCTAATTTTGAGCATTTTCAGCTAACAAGTCTAAGTACTTCATTGCTTCATTAGGGTCTTTATCTTCAAAAGTTCTATTGCACATCAATTCAACCATTTGCCTATCTCTAGGAGTTAATCCTTCATAAAAATATCAAACCAACCTCCATGTTTCAAAACCATGATGAGGGCAAGTATTAAGCAAGTCTCAATACCTATCCCAACATTGGTAAAATGTTTTTTCTAGTTTTTGAGTGAAAATGGTGATTTGTCTTTTGAAAGAGTTTGCTCTGTGAGAAAGGAAAAACTTCTTTAAAAACTGTTGTTGCATTTTATCCCAAACATGAATGGATCCAGATATTAAATTTTATAGCCATGTTTTAGATTTATTTTTAATAAAAAAAGAAAAAAGCTTTAATCTGATGGTGTTCATGCTACAATTTGAGTCATTATACATGTTGCAGACCTCTTCAAATTTTCTTAAATGCAAGTATGGATTTTCTAAATTGAAACCATGAAAAGAAGGTAAAATTTGAATAATGTCTAGCTTGAAATTAAAATGAGATGCATCAGGAGGGAAAACTATGCATGATAGTGCACTTGTTCTTATAGGATTTATGTGATCTCTAAGTGTTTTAATACGGTTATTCTCATTATTCTTATTATGAAGAGATTGATTATCTTCTTTAGCCATATTTTCTAAAAATAATGAGGATACCCTACAAAGTCTACCACTTAATGTACATGACCACACTCTCATGTATGTGTAGGATTAGAATAAAAAGAAGAAGAAAACAAAAGAAGAAGAAATAAAACAAAATAACAAAGTTAGATATAAGAAAAGTTAAAAGAAAAAATAAAACAAATATTATAATTTGTACAAGAATTTACCTCCCCGGCAACGGCGCCAAAAACTTGACACTACTAACGTTATAATCATACTGTATGGTTTTCAATTTAATAATAAGAGTTTATATTATACTTTGAGATGAAATATTAACGTAAGGATTAAACAATGATAACAAAAAATATCAAGGTTAGATTAATGCTAATACTTGTAAATCTCGTCAAGCATTCATGATTATAATTTATGTTAACAATAAATCAAGTTCATTTCATAGCTCAAGTGTTGGTTATACCATACAGTATGAACTATGAAAGTGTCAAGCATTTGTTGTACCAAGTGTTATACAACATAAATGAAGATTAGTCATTTAACAAGCAAAGTATTAAAGAGTGAACAAGATAACAAATACAAAATATGTTAGTATCAAACATTAAAGTTCATATTGAGTTTACATTATACTTATTCTTACACCATTAATGTAACCTTTTCACCTTGACATAATAAACTTAGCTAAACATAATGAAAGAAAGAAAAATAAATAAATAAAATAAGAACATAAATAAGATAAGAGTTAACTAAGTAAAGGAAAGGAAATGAAAGGCATAAACTTGATATTAATGAAAGCAAAGTATAAAAATTACAAAAAATACAAAGAGAGAAAGCAAGAGCATCATCTTGATTTGGAAACCAAGATGCCTAAATACATGAATACAAAGAGAGAAAGGAAGAGCATGATCTTGATCTGGAAACCAAGATGCCTAAATGCATGGCAAATGCCTTCTTTTATAGGCCAAAATTGGGAACTATTGATTTGATGACTAATTGATGAGTGGGTGACCAACTCTTGACTTGGTGACAATCTTTATCTTCTCTTGTCTGCCCAAAACGTCATTGATAACGTCAAAATTGGAGCCACTTGAAACATGAAAGTTTTAGGAAATTGTCTTATCTTTCTTGTGTAAAAAATGCATATCATTTGGACTTCTAGAACTCCAGATATGGGTCAAATACTGAACAATGCTTGGGTTGGAGGACAGATTCAGACTTCTTTGTTGTTGCTACAATTTGGACTTGAAAATGACCTTTTTAAGTCTTGGGCTCCTTATGAAAGTTGTAGACCTATGTCTTATCTTTCCATCCATATAAAGTAAACCTAAATCTAAGATCTATAGCTCCAGATATGACCCAATTATCAAACAGTATTCCGGTTTGGATTGCACCGACATCTCTTTTCTAAGTTTAGTCATCTCTTTGTCCTTTCTATTTCAGTTTTTAAATTCATCAATCAATCCTTTCATTTATGTGATAGGCCTACATTTAAAATGAACATTTACCATAAATTAAAGGTATCTTATATTATTGGATATATTATTATAAAATATGTTTTAGTTAAGGAGTTATTGATACTTCAAGTGCAAAATAATGACATAAAACCTTGATAAAAAATACACTTTTAAGTACTAATCAAGTCTCATCCTAAACATTTAATGATTATTGCATATCAGTTAGGATAAACATTGAACATCTTGTTGCCCAAATAATCTTGCTAAATTACTTATTAAATGCCTCCAATTAATTACAAGACCACTACTCATGAGAACAAAATTTCATGTTCCTACTTGGGGTACGCTGTTTTACAAGCAACAACACTTATACACATTAGATCAGCAACATATCACAAATTATCCCCATTACAATTGGTTTTTGGTCATAAGCCAAGCATTTTTTATCTAAGAATATTTGGTTGTGTGGTATATATTTTAATTTATCTACCATAACATACAAAGATGGGTCCTCGTAGGAGGTTGAGAATATATATTAGGTTTAAGTTCCTATTAATAATTAAATATCATGAACCCTTAATAGGTGATTCATTTACGACACGTTTTGTCGATTGTCATTTTGATGAGACTATGTTTCTAGCATTAAAAGGAGAAATTACACAACTAGATAAAGATATTACATGAAATGTATTATTATTATTAAATTTTGATCCTCCTACAAAACAATGTGAACAAGAAGTTCAAAAGATATTTTGTTTGTAAAACATTACAAATCAACTATTGAATGCATTTATTGAATAAAAAAGAGTAATCAAATTGCATATACCAATTGTAAATGCTCTAGCATTTTTTTATTATAATATATCACTTGATATCACTAATGAAAATGAAAATCTTGAGCTTAAATATATTGAAGAATGTGGATGCATGAATGATTGGCCAAAATAGAAAAAAAAAATTCAAATAAAATTAAATTCACTTATAAAATGTGAAGTTTTTGGACATATAATTCAAACACATGAAGATATAAAGCTAATCAGATACAAGTGGATATTTGTGTAAAAATCAAATAAAAATAAATAAAATCATAAGATATAGCACACATGTTTGCCAGCTTCTGCCATTTTCACAGCTTCAGGCTCCATTTATCTTGATTGTGTTAAAACAGAGCAACTAACTTTTCACGCATATATGGCGCCGCAACTAGCTAGCGGGGAAGGAACATGCCATATTCCAAACTAACATTTACGAAAGACCAGAGCACATTCTGACGATGTTCCAAATATTAAATTCTCTTATTTGTCAAGCAAGACACACAAACAAATAGCTTTTTGAGAGAGATTCAAAGAAAAAAGTCAGTATGAATTTGATTGCAATACAACAAACAACATATGGTCATATTCCATGAATAACATCATGAACCAAATCTATGAGGCCACTCTTCTCAGTAGGATATTCACCTGATCTAATGAAAATACCAACTTAAAATTAGAAAACGATCCCTTTTCAATATACTGGGAGACCTTTCAATTTGTCTCCAGCAACTTCAAACTATATACAGTTGCAAAATCAACAAATTTCATCAGCTTGATTTCAAAGACGTCATCAAAATCAGATTTGCTTAGATTAAAAGCGTGTAGAGGCTTCAGATTTCTCATATCCATTTTCTCCAACTGGCTGATCTTTTGTCACCAGCCAAGAGCCTAGGAAGGCTCAGCAAACTATTAACCCTTGTGATACCTTCTAGGGCCGACCACTCCTCATCCTCTGCAGTTGAAATGCACTCTGCCAGGCTCCTGTTGGACGGACCCAGGCACTTCACAGAAAGATTTTCAACCGTCGGCTCAGAGACAGGTACAATCTCATTAGAGTCTTCTGTGGTACTCGAATGTGTAAAAACAGGACCACAAGAATCATCTTGTGTTTCTAACTGCCCAACGTTCTCATTGGTCACAAAATGCTCCCCAGGCTCCTTAAGAATCTTTTTCTTATCCTGCTCTTCTACCTCTCCATTTGCTGCACAAAGATGTTCAAGAAAGAGGCATACAACTGCACAATCATCATTCTTGGATGTTGGATATTTAAGTCTCCATGCTCGGACAGCACAGTCAACAAGAGCTCTAGCTGCTGTTGCACGGCCAGGGGCTGAAGCCACAATATCAACTGCTTCCTTATTTGAGAGGACATCCCAAACCTATGTTATTAACATATCAATAGTAATGTCAAAGTAGGGATGGAGTTCATCCCATATGATGGTAGGTCAGTCTCTGTCCAATGCACTTAATGAAAGTGAAAACTCATCTGCATTCTAATTATCCAGTAACAATAAAGCTTCATATTAGTAGGACAGCAGCGTGGTAATGCAAAAACTATCAAGATCATGGCAAAAACATGGAAACATAGCATGCTTCTTAGACATTAAATTGCCAAATGGCCTGGAATAAGAAAGAGAATCTCTTACGTAGATTAAAATGAAAGAAGGGAATATTACCCCATCTGAAGCAAGAATAATGAATTCATCCCTCTCAGTGAGGCAGCGATAATAAACATCTGGAACGGAAATTAAACCAAAATCCTTCAAGCAGAAGTCCCCAAAAGCTCTAGCCATTGCCAGACCAGGTGAGTCATTGTTAGGCAACCACACACGTGGAACCTCTGGCTCATCCTGTAACGCAAAGACCCTTCCTTTACATTGCAGGATCCTGGCAGCTTCCCCTAATCCAAATAGACAAGATTGCTAAGCTCTACCAATATATATGCAAAGCAGTTTCCCCATATATGATATTGCAGAGACTCTTTATTTTTATTTTCTGTTTCCTTAAAACTGAATCAGAGGCAAAATATGAATGCATGTGCACTCGTGTGTGCATGCGTGTGTGTGTGTGTGTGAGAGAGAGAGAGAGAGAGAGCGAGAGAGAGAGAGAGAGAGAGAGAGACTTGGTAAATCAGGTTTCAAGTCAACTGTCAGTTGAACAGCAAGCAAGGAGTCATCTTGGTCTCTGGTTGCCAAAACTGCCCTGGAGTCACCAACATTTCCAATAACAAGATCCTGGCCCTGAAAAGCCACATTTTCACATTACAGTGTTGTTAGATCCAGGTTTCATTTACTATATCAAAAAACAGTCATTTTGGGAAATCTAAACAAGATACAAGACAAGTCATGTTTCTCAAGCTGACAATATAAATCAAAACAGATATTTCGAACAGAGACACTCTGAAGTGCAGGAAATCCTCAAGAAAAATCAAATCAAATTAAAGGATAAGTCCATTCCAATTGAAGAGGAATTATTCAATGTACCCAGAGTTGTACTCCCTTTTCCACATGATGGTGGAACCCGTGGATACTTCTCAAGGTGGGTTCCATATTAGGCAAGAGGGGGAGTACAGCAAGAAAATCCTTCTCAATGTGCTAGTGGCAGAGAGCTCTAAAGATGCCTAACAACCACTATGTCACACAAAATAATCATGATATTCCTCTCCATTTAAACATACCATGTCACTGCAAGCTCAATTCTCTGCCAGAGAACCTCACAATCTTTTCACTTCCAGAATTCCTAAAATGAATTAACAACAAATCTGCTATAATTGGTTTTTGTCCCTAGTATTTGCCACCAAAATCACAAATGCCCATGCCATGAACTTGCAAAAGCAAAATGTAGAAAAGATGCCCCCGGTCACAGTATTATTAAGGCAAACATCAGGAAAACATTGCCATGTGTACTGTATATTTATTTAGATTTCCATAACATGGTTTAATGATCTAACATAAAGGTTCACAAAACTTTGCAATATCTACATAAGTAGAAAGATCAAACTTCAGATATGATTGTTATTGAAACAATGACTTGGCTTCTACCACGAAATGGTTTGTACAAGCTTCTAATGAATATGTGGAAATTCATGCTATCATAATGTGAGATTTAGAAGGTCAATGGAGCAGAACTGATGGCACCTTCGATGGCAACTAGTTTTACTACTGATACTCTGGTAGCATGTGATATTGTACAATGATTCTGCAAGTATAGCTTAAGCTAAAGAGCAAGATCTCTCTTCAAAGTTCACCTTACTGGGGGAAACTAAGGACTGTCTAGGCAGCTTTGATGCATGCTAAGCTAATGGGAAACAAAAGGTAGCTGCATTCTATGCATTGTTGAAAAAGGCACGGTTCTTTTTGGGTTTAGATGCTTTGGGTCTTTTTACACTCTTATGTTTAGTGGTTTCATAATCAAATTTTGCTTAAAACACTGGATGTGATTATTCAGGTTGCTTTCATTGTCAATTCACTTTTTATGCTTCAAAATTTCAGACTTCCTGCAGAATTATGCTACCAACAATGAGGATTTCCAACACCTAAACGAATTGTAAACTGTTCTGCACATTACAAATAACAAAGCTGTAAACCTATACTTCAATTCAACTACAGTGAAGAAAATCTAAATATCTTGCATGACTAATTCATAGTTGGGAATTTGAAACATAGCCACGCATAAACAAATCGAATTGCATGTGATACTTGTATCAGAAGTGAATAATAAACAGTTAGATGTATCTGTGATTTAATTAATTCAATATTAATGATTTTTATATCATCATAGCTCAAAAGAGATAATAAAAGGCTTAATTCTTCCTGTTGAAATCTAAATCACTAGGAAATGATCTACACAAAGATAGCACAAGTCAAAATATTGATTGTTAACAACTTAACAAAGCAAATATGCTTCTAAGAACTTCTAATTGGTATTGCATACAACATTTGGAGCAAACTTGGAGCACGTGTTTGAACTAGACTGTCATCCTGAAGCTTGAGATTAAATTTGATAGAGAATTTGGGTCTGAATATTAGAAAATCATAAAAGAAAAGAAAAGAAAAGAAAATGGATAGAGAATGAAGCAAAAACAAGTACCTGCTTGATCAAAGTAACAGCAGTGGTCCCACTGCAAAAACAATCGATTGTTGGATGCAACTTCAACTCCTTGTCCATTAATTTAAAAGCCTTCAATAAAGACTTTTTAAGTGGAAGATACATATCTGGGAGTTGTTTTTCAGTTTCATCGACCTCCAAAGAATCAAAAGATTCATCATCCACGGCTTCATCAGAATTTGTGGTTGCTGCTGCAGGGGGAGCATTTGGAAGGCAGCTGTGTTGAGCAGAGTTCCAGCGGGTAGAGAGTATGAGTGGAAGGGAATCGCGAACTTTCTTGGCGACCAAATGACCATAAGGGCCATGACCATCAAATACCCCACAAAAAACGGTATCATTTGTGGTTGAGCTGAAATTCTACAGCAGAGAGAAACATTCCAATTGCCAACCCAGTCAGAGTAAGTCAACATTATATCAAACCTACAACCAGTTCAGAAATCAAAAATAAATTCTCTGTCATTTTTTTTTCAAACAGAACAGAGCAATGTAAATGAGACTGTTTAAATTACAATTAGAAATTGCGTTTTTTACGCAAATTACTAAGAAGAGAAACAGGTGGTTTAATTGTGGGAAAAAAAAAAGAAGGAAAAGGAATACCAAGAAGTAGCAATTTAAATTAAGAAAAAGAAAAAAAAAGAGGGTAATAATATTATTAATGACTACTACGTACCTCCCAAAAGAGCATGGCGTCTTGATTGGTGCCTTTCTTGCCCTGCTGAGTATATAAGCAACCCAGTTTAGTAGCTCCATTGGTGGTGAGCCTGCCAGGAATGTGAAGGAGCACACTTGGATCAGCATTAGCATTAGTAGCTGATGATGATGATCTCTTCTTCCAAAAATGAGAAGTGGAAGTGATTGATGACGATGATAAGGATAGTGGGTCATCGTCAGTATCCTTCTTCTTCTTCTTCTTCCCCATGATGGAAAAGCAAGATCCCATTACTAGTAGTAGTTAATTAGTTAGTTATGGCTGTCAATTACGAAAAAAGCATTATATACTTAAGATTAATATCGGCTAATGGCATGAGTGGGTCAATTTTGAAAAGAAAAAAACAGAAGGAAAGAAAGAGTCGTGCCTAGCTAGTAAGCTAGCTAGCTAGCTACTAGAGAGGAGAGGAGAGGAGAGGAGGACAAGAAGAAGGAAAAGAAAAGGAGAGATAAAAGATAAAATTAAGGAAGACAAATATTAATACAATCTATGCGGTAGCTGGAAGTGGAAGAAGAGATCAATATTTGTACAGGCGATTGGCTTGGATTGGACTGGAAAGGGAGGGAGTACTGATCATATCATCATCGATCCAGATATACAAGAAGACGATTGATTTGATCAGATTCAAAATGAAAATAACGGCATTGAACGACCAGAGAGAGCCACCCAGCGGCCAGGGAGAAACCAAGAAACCAATATGTTAGGTAAGGTATACATCACCATCATCGTCTATTTCCACCCTATACATACATACATACACCCCCCCC